TTGTATGCAGATTACCTACTCCAGGGCAGATGTAGCACTCACACCCATATCCTCACACTGGATCTTGAATTAGTCACAAACTCTAGAAGCTGCCCCAATGACTGCATGAGGCCTTGGGGGGACAACTAGACATAAGCCATAACAAAGGTGAATATCTTTGGTGGCCCTCTGAAAGAAGTCTCCATGTTTTGAATTCTAAGTCATGCGTTCAAGGTTACAGAACTAAATGGCAGAGGTGGGATTTGAACCTGGTCTCTAGAATGATCTTGACGAGGATAGCATCGTCGGGGGTGGGTGGCATTGCCTCATGCTGGACAAGGTGGGTTGAGTGTGTGCAGAGTTGGGTACAGAGACCAGAGGGAGTACCTAGGGTGCTCCTGAAGGCCTCCTCCTCCTGCTCCTCTTTGTATTCACTTAGCCTCCAACTCTGGCTGCTTGATTTGCAGTTTGGCGCTCCTGGTGACCTCTTGACGACTCCTGATAAAAAATGCGAGAGTGTGTTTATGTGTTAGGAAGCACTACGCCAATGTAGCCAGAATTGTTCTTTCACAATATCATTCCAATAAGCATGCAAACATTTATGGAAGGCAGTGGGCAAACGGTGAAGCGTAAATGGAGGTTTTAGCCCAGAAGCAGGGAGTAGCACACCTTTTCTGGAAAAGAATGAATATGCTTGGGTTCTGGCTGTAAATTTTCTGTCTCAATTACTCGGCGCTGGTGTTGCAGCAGGAAGCCAGGCCTAGACAACATCTAAATGAATCAACAGGGATAGTTTTCAACTGCATTTTGCTGGTGAAAAGAAGCAGTGGGCCAGTTCAGAGCTGTAATCAGTTGATTTCAGTTTTATAGCAGCATGTATTTGAGCAAAATATAAACACACAGTTTAGGTCATGCACATTAAATTAAAAAGTATTATGTATGTGTGTATGTATGTACTTTGTGCTATAAAATATCTTCTGAAAGTTGTAAGTGCAGTGAGTATGAGCAAACTCAGAAATTTGGTAGGCCTTATTAAAGTCCTAATTGTGATCCCTGATGGCCAAGGGCTCATTTTTTTATTTTGCCTTTGTCCAGAGGCTGCTTCAAGGTGAGTATGATTATTCACTCCCTTTTGCTTCTTTTATTATTTACTTTGTCCTATAGGTACTTGGGTTTGTGACTCTTATACTTTTTATTTGTTTATTTTTTTTGAGACAAGTTCTCACTACGCAATGCAAACAGGCCTGGCATTCCTTATGTAGCCCTGGTTAGCTTTGAACTCATGCCAATCCTCCTGCCTCAGCCTCCCAAGCACTGGACTTAGAGGTCCATGTCACCACACCTGGTTGTGACTCAGACTCTCTTAAGTATTCCCATGCTGAAAAGCCTGGAGTGAGTTACGGAATAAATTAAAATGGATTGCATACATGTGTGTTCTTTGCACCACTCATATTTCAACAGTACTTTTCAAAGATAAAATAATGGGTTGTCTCAGCAAGCATTTTACTCTTGTTTCATTTTTCTGGATGTGGATGTGTGTCTTCCTCCATTGCAGTTTAGACAGCCAGTATTTGCTTACATGGTTTTTACTGTGGCTTCCTGTGTGCACAGTGTGTATGTGTGTGTGTGTGTGGGGGGAGTTGTATCTTCTGCCAGCCACGTGGGAGGTGGTATTTGCACAAAATAACATTCTCTGTATACAAAAGGAAAATGTTTATTCACAATGGTGTTTTCCTCTTGAGATCCTTGATGACTAGAGATGTTCTTTTTAAAATAATGGATGCGTTCTTTCCCTTACCTCTCCATGCCTTGGTGAATTTTAGGATGTTCACATTCTTGTAGATGGGAAATACTCCTCTAAAGGGAAGCCAACACATGTACTGCCTTGTCACAAATTTCGGTTTTGAGATGGAATGGAAATATCAATGAAAATTATAAAAAATAATTTTAAAAAATCCACTCATCTAAAAGGCAATGGTAAGAGTTGTGGCAGGAGTACTACCCTTAGACTAGCACTTGTGGATGTCAGCAAGGTGATGCTATTCGTTTAATGCTTTTGTGTAATTGGACAGCTTTTGTCATACTGAGTTTTGTTAGTTTTGCTTTTCAAGTCGTTTCCCTTTTCTTGAGTACTTCAAACTGATGTGCTTAAGATCGTTGAAACACTGTTTCGTGGATACACTATCTACTGCATATGATAGAATACTATGCGCCAATAAAAAGAACATAACACCTGTATGAATTCAAGGGTCTTGTGTCAAGTGTCACATGCAAAAGTCTGCATGCCATGTGATTATTGCATCATATTCTGGAAGAGATAAAACTATATAATTTAAAGAGATCCCTGGTTGGCATGAGTTAGAAATCGAAATATTTCACCATAGTAGCATACCATAAATGGGCTTATTTGGGTCATAGAACACTCTGACATACTTATTGTAAAGGATTATTCTAATTGATAGGTTAAAAATCATAGTAACCTCACAGGCAAAATGTCAATTTTACTCTATGGTTTTTAAAAGCACATTAAAAGTTTTTTTTTTGAATGCTTAATTATAATTACTGAAAACATGAAAACAATGCAATGATATTGGTTTGCTACTCTTGCTAACATAAATATTAGTTGGCCTCTTTTAGAATTAAAATACTAAGTCAGTGATTTAGTTTGGGTGTGCAAAAGAGGTAGAATAACACATGTACTCGGTGGGTAATGCTGAGGTTCTATGCAAGAATGCAGGGCAATATTCAAAGTTATGTGTCCCCTGGTGGCTGTAACTTGTCCTCTTGTGCATATGGAACATTTTGCTCTTCTTTATGGTAACTGCTTTCCTGCCTTCATGTGTGCACATGAGATGTGACAGTTACAGTGGCATTGGGAACCATAACTTTAAGTTCCGTGACTTGTCTGTGAGTCAAACCAGCTGTAATGTTGAGTTAATGTTGCTGCTCACATGGCGTTTCCCTGTCATTGTAAGTGGAAGAATTACCCCATAGTTGAGGAAAAGCCCTTCATTCATTTTTGAGAGCATATGAATGATGGTGCTGATGTGGACTAATTTTGTCATTTAATTAGCATTATCATTAAGCACACTGAGCCAGTCTTGGGAGAATCCACACAGTGCTCAGATCTGGTTGAGGGAGAACAAGGTTTAAGAAGCCATTTGGCCATGTCTCCAATTAAAAGTGGAAGGTGCCAGCTCACCTGATTCTTGCCTATTGACATTCAATTTAGACAAAGGTTTATCGCATCCTCTGAGCAGTGGGGCACTGATTCATTAAGTAAAACTGGAGACAGTAGTGGTGGTGGGTTGGGCTGTGGAGTATCCTTTATTAGCTTTGTAAGTGAATGCACGTTTTGGGCATAGAAAATCAGAGAAAAAGTGACTGGATTTATGGAATTGGATATTCTATAGGCAAAGACAAAAGTCTTTTGACATTAAGAAAGTTGAGCGCGTTTCTGATTCTTGACATAATACAGTCTTCAGAGTGTTCTGTGTAACTCACTTGGGTGCTTTTTGAGACTCAGTGCATGTGGGAGATACCTGGGGTCAGAGAGGCCATTTGGCAAAGGCACTGCTGCCTCCCTGTCTGCAGTCACGCTGAGCCCTGCATGGAGGGTAAGGCCTCTGTTTTTTCTGCAGAGGTGGTGATGGTACTTCCAGGGCCACTTGGCAGAGTGAAGGGAGAGCAGAGCCATAGGGAAGGCTCCTGCTGTCTGAATTTCCTGCCATCCTTGTTACGGATCTTTATGTGGATGGAACCAAAGTCTACACAGTTGAGCCACACTAGACCTGGGACTGGTAGGGACAGAGGCAGATCTGAGAGCAAGTTTCCAAGAACCCCAGGGCCCAGGTCTCTTCCAGCTAAGGAAATGGGAGCTCTCAGCCCACTTATGTCCAGAGTTCATTTCTACCAAGCTGAGCCTTTCTCCATGTCACCATATGCAGAGTCAGTGGACCAGCGAGTTCTTGCATGCTTATGTAACCTCATTGTGGTTAGCCCCTTTGGGGGCTACAATATTGGTCCTCTTGTCTAGAGCTATGTTCTTTTACCCCCTGAAGCTCTATTTGAGTGAGTTTGTCTTGGAAATCAGCCTGCCCTCCAGGCAGGACCTCTGCATTGTGCCTGAGACACCTCTGATGAGCGTGGATGGAAGTAGCAGGGCTACGAGGGCCTCCAGGCCTGGCCTACACCACCAATGTTCATGGAAATCCAGGAAGCAAACACTGTAGACCCCTTTCCTGTTTCTGATCTGGCCCATAACTTTGTCACATTTCTTTGGAGGGGAAGTCCCATCTTTGTAACAAGAAATTGACCCTGGCTGGTAACTAAACACAAAATACTCCAGTTTCTGGGGGCCCTTTGTGTCTGTCCTCTGCACTCAGTCTTTCTTTCTGGGCAACTGTCCTCATGCTCAGCCTAAGAACATTCCATAGAAGACCATTGCAAACCCATGTACCCATCCTCATTGCCAAGTGATACATATTTCATGGCTCTGTGGAGCCACTTCCTTGGGTATGCATGTTAGGAAGCAGGCACCTCCCACTCTGTGGGCATGTGCTTGGAATTTATACCTCCTGCTTTGGGGTCCATGGTGGTCTGATTGCTGGACTCTGATGGTTTGGTTGATGCAGGTCTTTCAGATCCCACATTGGAAAGGCTTCCTATCTTGTAGGCAGTTCAGGTCCCTTGATCTGGAGCTGCCCACTTCCTGGAGACTGGGAGGCATCTGGCAGGATGGCCTGCTGCTGTACTTCCTCCCCTGGCATCAAAGCTTTACTTGCAAAGCATGTGGGTGAAGCAGCGATGCCCAGGGTGTGATGGAGGGCATAATTGGCCACCAGTGACCTAGCCCGGTTGATGCCTCTTAGTTCAGCTCTTGCCACATGGGAGGGCAGCCCACACACCTGAAACTGGGTATGCAAATAGCAGATTTCTGAAGGGAAAGACCAGAGAGAGAATCTTATCACAGCTTGACACTCATTTGATTTTTAAAAGTAGACTTTGCTTTTCTTTTGCAGAAACTGCCGGGCAACGGTGACTTGAACGCTTCCATGACATCTCAACATTTTGAAGAACAATCTGTGAGTGATGCAACTTAAAAATAAGCACTACACATCATACATACTTTGCAACAAATATTTGCACTTCTTCTTAACCTTTTATTTCAAAAGAATGCTGAAATACATCGTTATACATAAACAGATCTTGCAAATTTGAGCTAGAAGAGATTAATTTATGGTCTATTGATTGGTCAGAGTAGAATAGAGTCTTCTAAAAATATACAGAAGCAATACACAGTGAGATTGTAAAGGATACAGAGCCATTTAAAAGTCCTGTGAAACATAAAGAAGGCTGTCAAGGGCAACTTTGACCATAGGGTCAATTAATTGCATGTCTGATAATTGAATGATAAATAACTTCATCTGTCCACTTGGAGGAAAAGCAGAAATATGAAATTGCATTTTGCTCATGCAATAGCTTTATGAAAGCAGACTTGGCTTTGCTTTATGGCCACTGGAGTTGATCATTCCTGGACAGGGACACTGTGGTGTGAGGGAGGTGAGATCGAGTTGACCAGAGCAGGAGATGCTGATGGCGTGATGATGTGCGACAGCAAATGTGGCTCTGCCAGGAAAGGGCTGAGAAGAGACATGGAGTTCCATGTGGACACAGGGGTGGGGGGCACGCATCTGGGGAAACATGGGCACAGGATTGGACCCAGAACAAAATTTCATTCCAAGTAGAGGAGGGCTGCCAGGATGGATGGGGTTAGGAGGGAAGGACAAGAAGAGAAAGGAGACATTTTATACCTGGGGTTAACGTGGTGACACCGGTTGGTGGGAGTAGCCCTGCAACCACATTTGGACATGCTCCTCCTCTTATCACTCTATAGTGAGTTTTAAAATAAAACACCTCACAGTCAATTGATTATTTTAAGGATGTTTCCTAGAATGCCATTCCACTTATCTAATTTTTAAAATGTTCATCTTGCACAAATATAAACACAATTGATTCTGAAGTCAAATAAAATCTCACTGGGGGAGATACCAAGGACTTTTAGTAAAACACCACAATTGAGTTATCAGAATGACAGGGTCTCTGAGATAGCACTTGTCTGGCCTTGTGAACCTCTTTTTCTCCCTTAAATTAAGAAATATCTGTGCACAGGCAGAAAGCCTTTCGCTTGGGCCCAAGACCTACTGGCTTAATGCTTGCTCATTTCTGCAGGCTCCTGGGGAAGCCGGTGATGGCCTGAGCCACCTCCCCAGCCCTTTCGCGTACCTTCTCACCATCCACCTGAAGGAAGGCCGCAACCTGGTGGTCCGGGATCGCTGCGGTAAGGCTGTACCTTGGGCGCTCTTGGCCCCTGGCCTTCTCTCCTCACCCTGGTGAGGAAGTTTCCACGTCCATGGGGCTCAGGACCCACTGAAGCTCAGATCTAAGCCTTTCTAGGTGCAAGATATTTGCAGAGAAGTATTTAAAACACATTGATCCCTGCTATTCCTTTTCATTATTAAAAATACTAATGAGCACATGGAGTTGTTTTAGAAGGAAATGAGATACCTGTGGTAGCTATACAGCAGGCCCACGCTGTTCAAAATGTTTCCATGGTGCCACTTTGCAAATTATTTATGAAAAAGAGCGGCATGGTCAGGGATACCCATAATCTCAGGACTCTGGGAGGCTGAGACAGAAAGACCACAAGTTTAAATCTAGCATGGGCAATATAGCTACCTAGTGAGACCTTTGCTCAATTGTTTTTTAAATCAATCTTTGTAAAATTAATTAATTAATTAATTAATTTAGTATAAGGTCTTACTATGCAGTTCAGGCTCATAGTGATCCTCCTATCTCAACCTCCCCAGCACTGGGATTATAAGTGTGTACCACCTTGCCCATTTTCGGTGGCTGGCATGGCCTACCCACGGTTCCAGTACCAGTACAGCACATGGTGCCAGAGATCAAACCCAGGTCCTTGCACTAGTCAGGCAGGTGCTTAGACTCCTGAGCTATCTCCACAGCCCCAACTTTTTTTTTTTTTTTTAATATGGGGGATGTAGTTTTAGTGCAAAGGCCCTGGGTTCAATTTTCAGTATAAAACATATACACTCATGGACCCAGACAAAGAAAGAAGGATGTGATTAGATTTTAAGGTTAAAATCATCAGAAGTACAAGTTTATGGAAATGCCATTTAAAACTTAGCTGTTTCTGTTTGAATCCCTCTAGATGCTAAATTGCTACTGTCTGATTTTAACTGATTTGTTCACCTTTTACACATGTCTATATGCATTTATTTTATATTAAGTTGGGACTATAAAATCCATATTGGCCCACAGTAAGCTCCTTTATCTTACTTTACAACATATCTTCAAGGTTGATCACGGTCTTCTGTGTAAATACGTTTAATTTCCTTCAAGTACGTGACATTCCATAGTATCTTATATAGTCATTCTCCACTGATGATAGATACATTGCCTCTGTGGTATAAAAGATTGCCTTAGTTACTTTTCTCCTTACTGGGACAAAACACCCAACACCCAAGGTGAAAGGAGGAAAAGTTTATTTTGGTTCTTAGTCTGTGGAGGTTCAGTTCATGGTAGGTCGGCTCCAAGGCAGGGTGGCCTGGGAGAGCAGAAGCAGGCATCAGGAGTAAGCAAGGAACCTCCTCTGCTTCTTTAAGCCCCGTTCTATTCTGTTCCAGGGCACTAGGGTAGTGACAAGCCTATCAGTAGACTGACAGTGATCAGATACCCTTAAGCCAGCATCACACACCCTAGATCCGGCCACCTCTGAAACAAGCCCGCCCTATGACTGCACGAGGCTCTGGGAGGCCAACTGGACAGAAGCTTTGGCAGTGCTGTTGAGATGGATGGAGGGCCCGTGCTGGCTCAGTACAGGGAGGTTATGAATGATAGACCTTCCTTTAAAAGAGTGTGCCTGATGTGGTCAGTGGAGCTAGTCTGCTGGGCTCAGACCTTGGCTGCTTCATTCATGGCTCTTTTTTTTCTTTAAGAAATATTCTGGATCCCCTTCTGCCTTAAGGATGCCTATAACATGAGGAAAGTCATAGGAACATCTTCATAGGCCACTGGGGGGATTGTAGGCCTCGATCTGTATAAAGGACCCAGAATTCAACTGACTGGTTTTCTTCTAACATTTCAAAATTGGTGGTGATTTCCGGCATTAACATTTGCTTGCTTCACACTGCAAACAGTCTTTTCCATATTTGTTGCTCACCCCTACATTTTTTCTCTTTGATTTTTTCAGAAATTTTTGGTTTGACCCTAGACAATGATGAATGTTTCTTTTGGTGCTTTTCCATGTCTCCCGTTTGGTAGCTGAGGCCTTTTTATTCCAAGGAGCCCCATTGTACCCCAGGTCCTGGCCATTCTTTCCTGTCCCTTCCCCTCTGCTGTCCTTGCAAGGCCATGTCAGGGAAGGAAGGCAAGGAGGGGAGGGGAAGCAGGCCAGCAGGCCAGCAGGCCAGCCCTTGATCTGCCTTCCTAGCTTCTTCCCATCCCTTGCTCCTCTGCTCAGTGGCTTTGTGCGTCCAGGACAGCTCCTCAGCCTGCCCTTCAGCATGCTTCTATTCTCAGCATTGTCAGCCTGCGCGCTGAAGGTTAACTACTGAGCTGTCACTGTGTCTCCTTTGCTATTGCAGCTTGTTTTCATTCTGTGCACACATCGGCTGATGCCATCTCTGTTGATGAATATTGAGGGCGCTTTACTCATCTGCTGTTTGTGCCCCATCCAGGGGGTATCAGCCATGCCTCCCTGTGCCCCCCTTGGGGGACATTCAGTTTCCTGTGGCATGTTCCCTCCTCTGCAGAAGCGAGTTCAACCTTCGCCCACCCCCTTTCCCCATTATGGATGCTGTTTTTGCTCGCCAGGTCCTGCCTCCCAGCAGGATGTGCAGCTGGACAGGGTGAGCCTGTCCTTCCAGCTCGATTCTCCCTCCTCCTCCTGGTCATCCCCCGCCACTTGGCGCCATTCCCTCTGCTCTCTGTTCCTGCTCGTCCTCGGTGCTGCTGCCGGGCATGGCTTGACATCAGGTACTTGTCTGGGCCCACCCGGGGCTCTGTGCTGCTCTGAGGGCCACTGCAGGCATCTGCTGCCTCGGGTCCACTCTGGCTCAGCCACAGCACTCTCCCTCCTGCAGAGTCCCTTCTGCTGCGGCACCACTGCTCGTCTTTGGTGATGTCACAAACCCCATCTCACCAGGCTTGTCCTTCAGGAGTGTGTGAATCTCATGCTTCTTCCTACTTTTGTCCCTAAACAACACCCATGATTCACCCCTTTCATATTTTTTTTTCAGATGTATCATGTCACTGGCGTGAAAAAGTTCCATATTCTATTTAACCCAAAGGCATACATTTTTCCAAGAACATCATGACCTCTTCGCTGTTCCTTGCCACTGGGTATGGCCCTTTGTTATCAGTGTACCCTTTTTAATAGACTTATCTCATGTCAGTCTGGGTGATGGTAGAAGAGCATTGCTTGCCTAAAGTTGTAATTGAAGGATGTGATCATAACGAATGTAAAGTCGTCTCCACAAATCCCTGACTCGTAAATCTGCGTGGGGACCCATAGATACCTCTGCCAAATAAAGACCACTTGTAGGTATCTTTCTAAAATACTTACAGAGGTGTTATTACCGTGATGCATGCTTATGTATTTGGTACAGGGTCTCCCTACACATCTTGGACTTGTAGCGATCCTCCTGTCTTAAGCCTCCCCAGCACTGGGATTGCAGGCATGCACTACCATGCCTGGTATCAGTGGCTGGCTCAGTGCGCCTGGGGGCGGGGCCAGTGCTGCATGTGGTGCCAGGGATCAAACCTCAGTCCCTGTGCCTGCCTAAGCAGGCGCTTAGTCTGCTGAGCTATCTTGCCGGCCCTCTGTGATACACGTTTAAAACTCATGTTTGTAAACATAATTCATGGTACCTAAATCTTAGAAACAGATTAGATGTTCATCCACAGATGAGTGGATAAAAAAATGTGGCACTTATACATAATGGAGCACTCTTGTACCATAAAAAAGGACAAACTTGAGTCATTTGTAGGAAAAATGGTGCACCATGGTCTATGTAGATAAAGACCAAAATAACAAACAGATAGCAGGACATTAAAAATAGATCGTTTGCACAAAAGAGGAAGACCAAGAAATGGGGGAAGAGGGAAGGGAAGGGAAAAGGAAGATGAAAAATGAATTAAGATAAGTCATGTACAGGCACCAACTCCCCCCACAAGAAGGGCTCAGGTACTGCAAACAGGAACCCATGACCATTTTTCAGACATCACCGTCAAGTCCATTTCGTGACAGCTTATTCAGGGACCAAAAGAATTCTAGAGAGAGTGTATTTAGCTTTACGAAGAAGGAAGTGTTCTAAACGTATGGAAAGTATGTGCCCCATAAACTTGGAATGTCCCCAGTAGTATATAATTTAGTGATGGGCTTAGGGCCTAGTCCTCTCCCATGAGCTAGCTGAACTCTGCCAGTTTTCCTCATGTCATTTGGTTCGTTCTCCCTTCATGATGGGAACGATGAGGCTATACTGGCGCTGATGCTTCACCCTCCTATGTCCCGGAGCTCCTCATAGGCGTGCAGGAGACGGTAGACCCTTCCTCCTGTGGGTCAAGAGTTCATGAAAGGAATGAAACTGAAATGCTTGCTTCACTCCCTGCTGTTTCTTTTTTCTGTATTTTAGGAAAGTGCCTACAGGGTATTCAGGGTCTCACTACTAGATCAGACTCATCATGATTCTCCTGTTTACAGCCTCCCAGGTGCTGGGATTACAGGTGCGCGCCACCATGCCCAGTTTTAATCACTGTCTCACCGTGTTCCAGGGGTGGGGCTGGAATGGCAGGCCTGGGGATTGAACCCCCGACCCCTGCTCCTGCTTGCAGGTGCTTTAATCTGCTGAGCTATTTGGCATGCCCAGTGTGGTTTTTCTTTTTATTTGTTGAACTTATCATTTTGAATGACTGGAAAATCTATAATAATGTATAGTAGATGTATTGGAGTTATTAGTATAATAGTGAGCATTACCCCTATCTCTGAGACATGGTGCCTAGGTCATTTTTGTGTTTTCTGTCCTTAACTTATGTCAAATTGTCCCCTGTCCTGTGACCTCTCTATTTTCAGTACAGTTATTTAATTTTTCTTACATGGAACCATATATTTAATTTTTAAATCAGAAATACAGCAGATTAAATCAATCAGATGTTGATTTTCAGTGTGCAGGACCCTTCTTGAGGGTATTATTAAAGTGGCTGCCCCCTGAGTATAAGAAACAGCTATAGTAGCTTTATTTTCAATATTTTGGTCTTTGG